AACAGTAGGCATGTTTAATACAAGATCATTTTTATGCATGAAATTCAATGCATTGTAGTTGAAATGTCCCATCATTTTATGCCATAAAGAAGATTCATCATGTGAAGTAGCATATGCAGAGAAGTTTGCTTCATGCCAATTCAAGGAAAAATATTTTCCTTTCATATTAACAGTAAAGAGTTCATGGCCAGTGGGATCATGAATTATGCATGCCTTGTCTTTGAAGACTAAAGAGTAGTTATTTTCTAGCAACTGTCCTACGCTTAACAGGTTTTGATCTATTTTGGGCACAAATAACACATCTGAAATGAGTTTGGTACCTGTTGGTGTCTCAACTGCCACTACTCCTTTTCTTTTGACTTCTATGAAATCACCATTACCTATTCTGACTTTAGAGGTGCAGGTCTTGTCTAGTTCTTTGAATATGTTGATATCAGATGCCATATGGTGTGTGCAGCCACTGTCAATGAGCCATGCACTGGAGGAGGTTCTGGTTCCATAGCAAGTTGCAACAAAAATTTGCTCTTCTAGCTGTTGTTGATTGTCAGCAACTCTGGCTTGTTGATCTGGCTGCTGCTGTTTTTTGCTTTTACATACCTTCTTCATGTGACCAAGCTGCTTACAGTACCTACATTGTATGTTAGGTCTGTACCAGCAATATTTCTCCAAGTGAGTAGTCTTTTTGCAGTGAGAGCATGGTGGAAATTTTCTTTTCTTTTCACTGTTTCCAGTACCTTGGTTTCTTTGGTCTCCTTGTTTTCTGCCTTTGCTTTCTGTTTGCATCTTGCCTTTCTCCTTGGCTGTAAAAGCACCTTCTGTTGAATTCTCTTGTCTGATAGCCCTTCTTTGCTCTTGAGCTTGTAGAGCATTGAACAATTCTGCTGGAGTTATCTTGGTCAGGTCCTTAGAGTCTTCAAGGGATGAGATTTTCGACTCAAACCTCTCTGGTAAGCTGACAAGAACTTTCTCTACAATTCTTTTGTCTGACAGCTCCTCACCAAGTAATCTAATCTTGTTTACTATCTTCATGAGTCTGTCATTGTACTCCTTTAAATTTTCAGACTCCTTCATCTTTAAGACTTCAAACTCTCTTCTAAGATTCAACACTTGCATTTGTCTTGTCTTGTCACTGCCTTGAAACTCTTCCTTGAGCACATCCCAAGCTTGTTTTGCAGTTTCACAAGTCATGATTCTAATGAATATGTCATCAGAAACTGAAGACTCAATACAGCTTTTAGCCTTATACCTCTTTGCCTTTTCTTCATTATAATTTTTCATTTGAGTTACTGTTGGATTTGCAGGAAGTTGTGGTGGTTCCTTCTCATTTTCCACCACTTCCCACAAATCAAAAGCACTCAAATAAGTCTTCATTTTGACAGCCCATATCTGGTAGTTCTCACCAGAAAAAATAGGAGGTAGAGGTAAGGAGCAATTGCTTGAGGCCATTTAAGGTTGACAAAGGCTGGCTGGAAAGTGTTTGATGGCTTTTCACTCAATTTTTGGAACTCACAGATCCTCTAAGAACTTAAAGAATGCTCTGATACCAATTGATGGATTTAGAGCAGAGGAAGAACAAACAAAGACAGTAGAAACTAATCTGTCACTTGAAGTAAATTGGCTCATTTGATCATGAGCTTCATTTCATTAATTTATAGGCTTGAAAAATACAAAAGTTGTTGGCCTAACAGCATGGGTCACCATGCACAGACCCATCATTTTACCTAAACTAATCTGCTGCCAGCAAGTTTCAGCAAAAATGCCATACTAACTTGCTTCAACCACTAACACACTAACATGCTTCAGTACTAGCATGCTTCAACCACTAACACTCTTACTGAAAGGGTTATGTGATGAAATTAGTAACATTGTCAGCAGATTTTGGCGCAGATCAAAGTCAAACGGCCTAGGGATTCATTGGCTTAAATAAGAAAAGTTTTGTCGAAGCAAAGGTGTGGCGGTGAATGGGTTTTTCAGGATGCATCAAAGTTTAAAGTGGCGCTGTTGGGAAAACAAGGCTAGAGAGTATTAAAAAGGCTTGGGTCATTGGTTCACAAGGTACTCAAGGGGAAGTATTTCCCAAGATCCAACTTCATGGAGGCTGACTTGGGCGTAAACTCTTCTCTTTCATGGTGCAGTATATGGGCGGCGAGGAAGGTATTAGAGATAGGACTACAATGGAGAGTAGAAAATGGAAACTCAATTAAAACTTGGAACGATGCATGGATAAAACTTGGTACAAAGGCAAAACCATATACGAACAGTACGAGGGCTGCAAACTACAGATTGGCGGTAGAATTAATTACTCCGAACACTAGGAGATGGAAGGAGGATGAAGTACAACAAAATTTTCAGCAGAAGATGCAAAGTTGATATGCTGCATTCCACTGGCATGCGTTAGTAGAGAAGATCAACTGATATGGGGATTGGAAAAAAAAAAGGGTGAGTTCACGGTGAAAAGTGCATATAGACTTCTCACCAGCTCCACTATGGATGGTATAAATGATGAAGCTTGTAACAGCTTCTGGAAGTATCTTTGGCTGCTTAACATACCTGCAAAAATAAAAGTTTTTGGCTGACGCCAAAATAATGGTATATTGCCAGTTTTTACCAACCTAAGAAAGAGGGAAATTGATGTCCAGGATATATGTTCCAGATGTGGACAAGAAGAGGAAACAATGATGTATGCGGTCAAACGATGTAAGGTGGCAAATGACCTATGGAAAATGGAATGCTGCGGGGATGAATGGTCTGATGCAAAGATTGAAAGTGAAAAAGGATGGCTGAGCAGTTTGTATGAGAAAGGAACCCGAAACAGCTTGGAACTGGGACTGACAGCATGTTCGGTTTTATGACACAATAGGAATATGGATATAAAAAATAATGGATGCAAAACTGTCGAGGAGATCATGGCATATGTAAGGCAGTTTTTGCATGAATACAGAGGAGCTCAAGTACAGCCTGAGATGCAAATCATGCAGGAGATACCTAAATGGAGAACCTCAGAAAATGGCTATGCTAAAGTAAACTTTGACAGTGTGCTCAAGGTGGATGCCAGTGTGTGTGAGATAGGGGCTGTTGTTAGGGGACGGAATGGGCAAGGTGTTAAGGGCATGCTCAAATAGAGTAAAGCATGTTAGTGATCCAGTTGTTACAGAGGCAATTGCCCTGAATACAACGATTGAATTTTTCAAACAATAGAGATTACATTCTATTATAGTAGAAGGAGATGCACTTGAAGTAGAGAACCAGCTGAAGTCTGAGGAGGAGAACCTGTTGATGATCGGTGAACTGATGCAAGATGCAAAGACATTGATGCTAAACTTCAGTCAATTTTCAGCTGTTCGTACAAAAAGGGAGGCAAATGGGGCCGCACACAGACTTGCAAAGTATGCAATTACATCGCCAGTAGAGGAGATCCAATGGATTAATGAATGCCCTAACATTATTTCTGATGTAGTACTTGCTGAAAGCACATTTCTTTAAATCAATGAATTTATATTTCAAAAAAAAAAAGAAAATTGTGTCTAGAAATAGAGAGTGAGTAATCAGAACATCATTGTCTAATTATTTGGTATTTTCTATATATTGGCAGAGACAAGCCGAGCTTTCTTCATGTTCCGGGCATCCAGCCTTGAGATTGTGAGATCTACGGTCCCATTATTGAATGCGTACAGGTGAGTTTGGTTGTCTATGGCCAAAGCTGGATAAACTCTAGCAGTAATGCAGGCTCTTCCCTTCCAACCGAAACTTTCTACAACTGAATGATCTATCTGCAAAGGTGAAACCAATATCAGTAGTCCAACACAGAAAATGCTTTGATTATTTGGATAAAGTTTTATAATTGATCAAATGTTTCAAGTAGACTTCTAGGCTATTTACAAACCAGGGTTCTTAGTATAATCTTCTCCTGAGCTGGGTCTATGTCAATGAAAGCTCCATATGTGGTCTTCTCTGGCCCTTCCCTAAATGTAGACCTGTTAAATTTTTTAATGTGAAGTTGAGGATCAGTTCGCATCGGGAAGAAATGAAGTGGCTCAAAAAAAAAAAAAAGGAACAAAAACTGACCTGCTTTGATTACTACACATGAGTACAATATATTTGCATGGCTTCTAAAGATGCGAAAGAAGATTGCAGTTTGCTCTGTCAAACCTTGAGAGGCTAAAACTAGCAATCCAAATGGCCCAATCATGACTCGAAATGAAACCGTCTGTTGGCTACAAGGAGCTGGAGGATCAACCCCATCTGGGACTATAAATTCAGCCTCTTTCAAATTGGTTAAATCAAATGAGACTTCTACATTGGCCTGTACATGCATAATTAAACATAATTATCCTCCCAAGATTATGATTTTGGACAACAAGTATAATTGTTCATTATGATTGAACTTGTTACGTATGAAGCTGTTACTCCCAAAACTTCAAGAACTGATCCACCGTTGAGCTGCCTTTCCTGGATGCTTATGTTCTCAGGACAAAGAGTCTCAATCTCTTTGAATGGCCATTGAGTCAATTGCTTTCCAGTTTTACTGAGCAGAATGCTTCTAGGAATTGACTGTCAAACACAGATTACATTGCAAATGAGTTCTGTCAATTGTCATTTTACCTGTATATATTAATGATCGTTCCACACCTTAGATTACCTGAAGCCCTGACCACCCTTTCTTGACGGCATTAGCATCACCATCCATCTCTGCTATCCAGCCCCATGATATTCGCCTCTTCTTAGAGCAGTCAAAAAACGTCTTGGAAGCATAAAATTTTCCATAATCATATCGAAAATCAAAACCACTGTCCAAGATGTCATTTTCAGCTGAGAAGTTGTCTGTTTGGGGTGTAGTAATCATTTCCATCGAAGCTTGCCTTAAGCACATGCTTGGTAACTTTATCTTGGATAATAAAATTACAATTTATTCAAAAAAAAAAAAAAAGATCTCTATTTCTATACAACAAAGAGTTTACTAAGATAATTGCAGTGAAAGCCAAGTCAATACATAAAACAAAGTCTTATTAATGATGAAACAATTAATAACAATGTGTGATGTTGATACAAAACCTAAATTCAAAAGAAACCAACTGGCTAAATCTTGAATCCAATCCCAATAAAACAAACCAATTAACAATCAGCAAACAAAGAAATTACAATCCATAAACAACCATCAATCAATAACACAACTAGCAAGATTCTATATTACAATCCAACAATTAGGACACATATCAAGCCAAAAACACATCTTGACTCCATTTATGGGATTACATGAACAATACCTTGGTCCAGCCACCAAGAGAAGCCAGTCCAATACCAATAAATGGAGACACGCCCTGCCATTCAATAACAAGGAATTAGGAAATTTTCTACAGAATGCTAAATTGACCAATAATTTTTGGTAAAAGGTGTTGAAAATGCGTTTTTTTTTTACCAATATTGAAAATTGTATTTGTTTCTAGTTTTGAAGTCATCTTTATTTGAGAAATTTCTTTGTAAGTGTAACTTTTTCCAGTTATTCAATTATTCTCAGGAAAGAATGTTATACCCTTTTAACTTTATTTGAATCTAAATCGGAAAATGAGGTGTTATAAACATTTTATTTTGGAAAAAAGTGCAAATGAAGATAATATTACAGTTTAGATTTTTTTTTTTTTTTTGAAAATTGAAGGAAAGGAATTAAAATTCGATTTTAAACAAAGGATTTACACAAACTACTGATTCAACTGCCGATGTCATTGATTTTGCTTCTAATTCTTAGTGAAATAACAAGAATTTTAATAAGTAGGCACATGGTAACATAATCACCTATTACCTTTCAGATCATATTACTAGTTATTATGAATATTAAAAGTTGATAACTTTTTTTTTTTTTCTTTTTTTCTTTTTAATGTCCAAGTTGACTTCTTAGACTAATTAACCAAAGTTCAAATCTTGATAGTCTCATAAAAAAAAAAAAAGACAATATGACATATTAAAAAAAAATGGCATAAAATTTAGAAGTTCTAAACGTTCAAAAAACAGGCTTATTATCCCACTAACATGCTTTATCAAGAAAATAAAAAATATAAAAAAAGTTATAATTTACTATAACGTAGCATTAAATAATTCCATTTTATTTATTTATTTATTATTATTATTATTATTATTATTATTATTATTATTCAAATAAAAAATAAAATGAAGGAAATAAAATTGACAAAAAAAAATGAATAAGAGAGAAAAATATTAAGCTTACCAAATCATGGGACTGATCATTCCTTAAGCGAAATTTTAGTACCATCCAGATATATACGAGAGGCATGAGCAATCTTGGGCCAATCCACACCGCTTTCTTGTTTGCATCTTTCACTTAAAACATGACAATCTTGAATCTTTACTTGTTTGAGGCACTGCATCTTTTGTGGAAGAGTTGATACTTTTGGGCAAGCGATAATCTCAAGGTTTTCAAGTGATGTGACGCTGTGCCACTCTGGTGAAGTTGTGAGGTTCTCACATCCTTCGATGCTCAGGTACTTTAAAGTGTTGGTGGATCCTCGTAGAAGCCATTGGGGTAGAGCCTCCAGCTTTGGTAAATATCCAATCCCCAATTTTTGAAGACAGAGACCATTATCAACAAGGTTATCTTGATTATCATTATCTCCTGTCTCTTTGAATCCCTGCGTCGTACTCAGATCAAGCTTTTCACAATCCCCAATTATTAGAGACTGTAATGAAGTCAGATATTTCAAACCATGTGGCAGTGACACCAAGTTTTTGCAACCACCAATAACCAATGTATGAAGGGATGTGAGTTTCTGAACCCCTTCAAACAAATATTCCAGATTTCCACAGTCCACAATAACTAAATGTTGAAGAGATTTCAAGCGCTCGAATCCATGCAGAACCCTTTGTTTTGTAGTTAATGTTAAAAATCTAAGACTGATCATATAACTCATATCTTTAGGCAACTCTTCGATTTGGTCACAACCAACAAGAAACAGAGATTGCAAATTTTGCAACTTACAAATGGAGTTGGGAAGTTTCTTGATGTTGGAATTGCCTGTTAGGTTGAGATACCTTAAATGCTTCAAATTCCCAATCCTTTTGGGCAATACCTGGAGATTAGACCAACTAAGATCAAGCACCCGCAAATGTTGCAACCTCTTGAGACATGTTTCAATAAGGGATTTGTTTATAGGACCATTTCCCATATCTGGAAACCTAAGAGTACGTACCTGTCCTAATTTATTAAAGAACTTGGAAGCATTTTCCCCAGGAGATTCAGAGTTAACAAGGCACACATGCCGAATCCCTTGGCCAATATTTTGGTCAAAAGACTTTACTATACAACACTCATTCTTTGCTACTGATGATGCAAGATCATGTAAAAGATCATGCATTTTAAATGTATTATAAATAAGCCCGTCATCGTATTCTTGAAAAAGAGATCGTGACAACAGGCCGTTCAAATACTGCCTACCAATAACATCTGAATATTCAGTTTTATTGGAGGATTCAAGAAGACCATGAGCCATCCAAAATTGGAGTAACTCAAATTCAGAAAAATCATAATCCTTTGGATATAGTGAACAATAGGCAAAACATTGCTTCAGATAAGGAGGCATTTGATCATAACTTAGTTTTAGAATAGAAAATATTTCATTTTCATTTTCCATTAATTCCCACATCTCACTATCTTTCACAAGTTTCCAATCATGTTCTGAGGTTTTGGTGAATAGTAAACTCCCCAATGCCTTCACAACCAAAGGAACCCCTTTGGATTTTTTAACAATTTCTTCCCCAATTTTTACAAGGTTTGGATGTTGTTTCTCTTCCCCTCTCTTGAATGCAGATTGGAGAAACAAAGAGAAAGATTTGTCATAAGGAAGAGCTTCCAAACGGTGTGGGGGGATTGTGCCTGTGATCTTTGCAACTTGGTTACTACGAGTGGTGACTACAATTTTGCTTCCGCCAGTACCTCCCATTAACAATTGTTTCAGTTCTTGCCATTTTCTATAATCCTCATTCCACACCATCTAGAATAAGTAAATACTTTTTACCATTCAAACAGTCTCGTAAGACCTTTTGTAATTGCTCCAAATCCATGTTACCAAGGTCTCCATCACTCCCCTTTCCGGATTTAATGACTCTTACCACTAATCGTTTGAGATCAAAATCATCTGAAACACACACCCAGAGTTTCAATCCAAAATGGCTATCTACACTTTCATCATTGAACACCAATTTGGCTAGGGCAGTCTTCCCAAGACCTCCAATCCCGACTATGGGAAGGACTGATATGTCCTCCCCATCAGCTGGATAGTCTTGCATTAACATTTTTATGATTCTTTGTTTCTCTTCATCTCTGCCAATGATCTCTGATGCCTGCACAAAGGAGTGAGTCTCCCTGTCCAGGCGCAGGGCATGCCTAGGGCCATCATGTCTCTCAATGAGATGAAAATTATTTTTCAAAGCAGCAACCTTACCAAACCTCTCAGTAACAGTTTTAATCTTACGGGCCATCCTAAATGGAAAAGCAAGTGGGTTTGAGCTAGAAAAGAAATAGCTTACCTTCTTTCCAATGCCTCTCTGATTCAGAACTTGCTTCCGCAATGCTTCGACTTCAAATTCGTCTAACACATCTTCAGCATCATAACAGGCATCCTTCAACAGTTGTAGCCAAATCCGCAGCTGAGTGTCATGAGCCTGTTTCTCTTCAGCATCTAAAAGCACAGCTTTGATAGTAGTTAAAGTCGTCTTGAGCTCTTCAAGGTTACTCTGGACACCCCAAGTGTCACGGTCCACGCATTCCTCCTACTGAAACCACGCGACCGTGTGACACCAAGACTAATCCTAGTCAAGGTTAGCCTTCTATCGTGTCCATTTTTCTATGGACAGACCATTTCTGATCCTTCGAGCCACATGCCCGTTAGCCTTTTCTGGCTTTTGACCCCGTAGGATTGCTCATTCCAAACTCCATAGAGAGGAACCCATCTCTCATCGCACTTTGGCCCACGGTTCTCCAATTAACCAAGAGCACCCAGCTCTGGCCGCAAAGCTTAATGCTTCGAGCACCGACCCTCAGATCTCGTAGGGGCACACAGCCCCAGTTCTCATGATGTTATTACATCTTGGCATGGTGAGAACCCAACACCATGCTCGCCCGTATGATACGTAAGCTCCCGTATCAAGTTTACGCAAGCACCCCAACTAAGCTGGTCAGTAGCCAGCTCTAAGCCTTTAGGCTCATCTCGTCCCACGGGACTCGGTTCTTAGGGCTCAGGCCCTTAGCATCAGTATCGGCCGCCCGCACGCATGATTGACACCCCACATCATGCTAGTCCCGCAAGGGGACTTGGGTGTACTGCCCCAGCAGCAGTACACCAGCCCGACTGGCCACACGGGTCTAGCAGCGTGCCTGCCTGCTAGCCCGCACATCCCTCTGGCTCGATGGCGTCCCTCCTACGCAACACCATCACATGATCCTTCCGGCTCGAGGAGGGGAAACCGAGGGGCCTAGCGATCTCTACCGCCAAACCCCATGGCTCAACGCAAAGGCGCGATACGAGGCCCGCCGGCCCCAACCGTCCCCGGGTTTACCTTACCCGAGGAAACATCGTGCCACGCTCGTGACCCTACGATGCCCGCCCACCTAGACACCACGAGTGCCTAGGAGTAGCTCACTTCAGACTAGCCAGGCCCCCGCCTGCCCGCTAGCCAAGGGGGTGGTGGAGAGCTGACACCAGATCATCCCCCTATAAAGAGCGTTAGAGATTTTCCCACTATGCTACCAGTGACCGTAAGAATGTCTGAAACGGGGACACTTTTCTGCCCAGCCATCCTAGGGCCTTTCTCCGGCTAACTCAGGGCCCCGTAACCTTCCTCTTGGTCACCATTGCTCCTTGATTCTGCTCATTACTCCACCAACCCACTCGAAGGTGCCCGTGCATGGCTTCGACCAACGGCACCCGCCCGGCTACTTGGCTTGAGGGTGTCTGACCACTGTCCCGAACTTCCCCGCGTATCTTGCGGCTCGGGGCTCCCATTGCCCCCACAACATGCTAGCATCATGTTCCAAAGCTCGGAATGCACGCCCACATCTCGTAGAACCACTTTCCCGCCAGCTCGGTCTCGACCACTGCTTGGTTCAGGATCAGTCATGGCAGGACCAAGGCCTGACCATGACACTCTCCCCCACTTACTATGTCGATGCCCTCATCGACGCCAAGACCACACCCAACTATCTTGTTGCACACAGCTGACATTTCCTCATATGTCTCTTACTTGTGCCCTCAAGGATTGGGTCGAGGTCCCGTCACATGAGGCACCGTCCACAGTACTCGTCCATAGTTGGTGTAGATTGGTCCCATTGTTGCTCAGCTTTGTTGTAGTTCGAACCGCCTGACCTATCTTGGTTGTACTCATATGGGCCATACCATGGCTTCATCCCTTGATCCTTGTTAGGTTGCGACCTCGAGGTGCCCTCATTGATCGATGACCCTCAGTAGAATGAATGACCACAGCTTTGCCACTCATTTGGTGCGTCCCACCGGACGTGACCCCTCACACCAACTGCACGCTTGCAGCATCAACTCACTGATGCGCCCCTCTGGACGTGATGCTTAGGTCAACCGCACTCATACGGCACTCTACATGATGACCCTAGCACAGTGGCATTCAAGCACTTTGGTCATCTCCCAACTTGGGTCCTCTCGGCCCCTCCAAGGTCACCTCTCTAGGTGTGGCCCTCAGGCCAACCGCCCCCAAGACGGCACCTTAAAATGCGCTAACTCGGTCTTTGCCTCCGGCTTGAACACTATGCTCCATCGCCCAAGCTCCTTTATCTTGGCTCAGTCTCGTGGGGAATTGACAGGTCTCCCCCACTTTTACTCGAAACTCGGCACAGCATTATGCGCAACCCTGTCTTCTCGATGGTTCTATTGCTCGATAGTTTTGACTCCAGCCCAGTTCCTAGGGCATCCCAAAATCCGCTTATACTCGGAGACCCGCTGATTTGCTTGACTCGGGGATTCACCCGCTCGATCCTCAAGGTCCACTGACCGGCACGTCTGAGGCCTTGTCAACTGGCCGTTTCCCTTTTCTTGTTCCATTGGAATACATCCTGTCGTGGCCCACTGACCACCACTACTCGTGAAACCTTCCCTTTCGGCCAATACAAGTTCGATATCCTGGTTCACACATACACTCTCGTGATCCTCTGACCACAAGAACTCACGGTCCACTGACCAACGCCGCTCATGGTCCACTGACCAACTCGCTTGTGGCTTCAATCTTTAGCCACTTCATGCTCTTCTATGTAGTAGTCTCATGCTAGGACCCGAATACTTCGGCTTGCACCCCCGCTGGGGCACCTGCACCATACAGCAAGTGCACACATTAGTAATTAATCTTGCAACTCGACACCTCCTGCCCCTCAGGACAAGGTTCACTCGGCCCACGTGGCCTTACGCAACACCATTTCATGGTGTAAGCCCCTTTTCGCATCTCGGTCTCAATACGGTTCCTTCCACCGTGAAGGCATTACATGCCGCAACATATGCCAACACCTTTTCTAGGTGAGGCTAGACTCTGATGCCCTTTTGCTTGGCATCCAAGAGCCTACTCGAGAGCCTTTTCACATAGGCCTAATATTTCCCGCAGCACGCATCGTTGGCTCTTTCCCGAGCCCCCATAGGCATAAAACCCGCATCTGTGTCTCGATAGCTCCGTTTAAGCCTGGCATCACCTCGATTTCGCATCACTAGACCCACACATGGGGTCGCGTAACTCTCGCTACTGAGCCAACCTAGGCTCTGATACCAAATGTCACGGTCCACGCATTCCTCCTACTGAAACCACGCGACCGTGCGGCACCAAGACTAATCCTAGTCAAGGTCAGCCTTCTATCGTGTCCATTTTTCCACGGACAGACCATTTCTGATCCTTCGAGCCACATGCCCGTTAGCCTTTTCTGGCTTTTGACCCCGTAGGGTTGCTCATTCCAAACTCCATAGAGAGGAACCCATCTCTCATCGCACTTTGGCCCACGGTTCTCCAATTAACCAAGAGCACCCAGCTCTGGCCGCAAAGCTTAATGCTTCGAGCACCGACCCTCAAATCTCGTAGGGGCACACAGCCCCAATTCTCATGATGTTATTACATCTTGGCATGGTGAGAACCCAACACCATGCCCGCCCGTATGGTACGTAAGCTCCCGTATCAAGTTTACGCAAGCACCCCCAACTAAGCTGGTCAGCAGCCAGCTCTAAGCCTTTAGGCTCATCTCGTCCCACGGGACTCGGTTCTTAGGGCTTAGGCCCTTAGCATCAGTATCGGCCGCCCGCACGCATGATTGACACCCCACATCATGCTAGTCCCTCAAGAGGACTTGGGTGTACTGCCCCCAGCAGCAGTACACCAGCCCGACTGGCCACACGGGTCTAGCAGCGTGCCTGCCTGCTAGCCCGCACATCCCTCTGGCTCGATGGCGTCCCTCCTACGCAACACCATCACATGATCCTTCCGGCTCGAGGAGGGGAAACCGAGGGGCCTAGCGATCTCTATCGCCAAACCCCATGGCTCAACGCAAAGGCGCGATACGAGGCCCGCCGGTCCCAACCGTCCCCGGGTTTACCTTACCCGAGGAAACATCGTGCCACGCTCGTGACCCTACGATGCCCGCCCGCCTAGACACCACGAGTGCCTAGGAGTAGCTCACTTCAGACTAGCCAGGCCCCCGCCTGCCCGCTAGCCAAGGGGGTGGTGGAGAGCTGACACCAGATCATCCCCCTATAAAGAGCGTTAGAGATTTTCCCACTATGCTACCAGTGACCGTAAAAATGTCTGAAACGGGGACACTTTTCTGCCCAGCCATCCTAGGGCCTTTCTCCGGCTAACTCAGGGCCCCGTAAGCTTCCTCTTGGTCACCATTGCTCCTTGATTCTGCTCATTACTCCACCAACCCACTCGAAGGTGCCCGTGCATGGCTTCGACCAACGGCACCCGCCAGGCTACTTGGCTTGAGGGTGTCCGACCACTGTCCCGAACTTCCCCGCGTATCTTGCGGCCCGGGGCTCCCATTGTCCCCACAATATGTTAGCATCATGTTCCAAAGCTCGGAATGCACGCCCACATCTCGTAGAACCACTTTTCCGCCAGCTCGATCTCGACTGCTGCTTGGTTCAGGATCAGTCATGGCAGGACAAGGCCTGACCATGACACCAAGCCTGGCGAATTTCTTGATTGGCAATATTACCGAGTTTCGAAAGGACTATTTCTGCAAGGTTAAATGCGAAGGATTCAGCCATGATTGTTGCGGGGAGATATATCTTGTGCTAAGTCTAATTTTTATGATGAGGTTTATTGATTGATTAAACAAGTGAGAGGAAAGCAAAGAACAGGATGGAGCGAAGAATTTCTATGAATATCTTAAAGCAATAAAGAAGAAAGTGGGAAGGAACATTAGAAGCTGACTTGACTTGGTAAAGGGAGTAGTTGGTGTGCTTGCCGTAATATAAGTAAAAATAGATATAATGATATAATTTCTGTCATTTAAAAAGAAGTAGTTGAAATTAATTGATAATAGAAGTTAATTTAATTAATGAGTAAATTTCATTGGAACAGTATCATTACTCAAAAACTTCCGCAACTAAGAGTACAGCTTTAACAACGTTCAACGGTTTACTAGGCTTTTAAAGGTCACTTTGGGCACCCCAAGCTAAAGGAAGCTCTTCATAAGTAATAATGCTTAGTTTCTCGATCACGTTTTCTTACTATATCAAATGTGAAGTTTCCAGCCATGATTTCAAAAAATTTGTGCAATTAATAAGTAACCAATCAAAATGGAATACCATAACTTTCTGTCAAAACATTATTTGAGCAAATAAATTAAAGCTTTATTATTGCACAAGAAAATTGTGTTTAGAAAGAGAGAGAGAGTAATCAGAACATCATTGTCCAGTGATTTGGGATTTTCTATATATTGGCAGAAACAAGTCGAGCTTTCTTCATGTTCCAGGCATCCAGCCTTGAGATTGTGAGATCTACGGTCCCATTATTGAATGCGTACAGGTGAGCTTGATTGTCTATGGCCAAAGCTGGATAAACTCTAGCAGTAATGCAGGCTCTTCCGTTCCCACCAAAACTTTCAACAACTGAATGATCTATCTGCAAAGATGAAACCAATATCAGGAGTTCAACACGGGAAACGCTTTGGTTATTTGGAAAAAGTTTTCTAATTAAACAAATGTTTCAAGTAGACAAATAGGCTATTTACAAACCAGAGTTCTTAGTGTAATCTTCTCCTGACGGGGGTCTATGTCAATGAAAGTTCCATATGTGGTCTTATCTGGCCCGTCCCTAAATGTAGACCTGTTAAATTTTTTAATGAAGTTGAGGATCAGTTCGCATCAGGAAGAAATGAAGTGGCTCAAAAAGAAAAGGAGCAAAAACCGACCTGCTTTGATCACTACACATGAGTACAATATATTTTTCATGGCTTTTAAAGATGCGAAAGAAGATTGCAGTTTGCTCTGTCAATCCTTGAGAGGCTAAAACTAGCAATCCAAATGGCCCAATCATGCCTCGAAATGATGCCGTCTGTTGGCTACAAAGAGCTCGAGGATTAACCCCATCTGGGACTATAAATTCAGCCTCTTTCAAATTGGTTAAATCAAATGAGACTTCGACATCGGCCTGTAAATGCATAATTGAACATAATTATCCTCCTAAGCTTATGATTTGTGGACAACAAGTATAATTTTTCATTATGATTGAACTTGTTACCTGTGAAGCTGTTACTCCCAAAACTTCAAGAACTGATCCACCCTTGAGCTGCTTCTCCTGTATGCTCACGTTCCGAGCACGAAGAGTCTCAATCTCTTTGATTGGCCATTGAATCAATTGCTTTCCAGTTTTATGGAGCAGAATGCTTCTAGGAATTGACTGTCAAATACAGATTACATTGCAAATGAGTTCTGTCAATTGTCATTTGACCTTTATATATTTATGATCGTTCCACACCTTAGATTACCTGAAGCCCTGACCACCCTTTCTTGACAGCATTGGCATCCCCATCCATCTCTGCTATCCAGCCCCATGATATTCGCCTCTTCTTAGAGCTGTCAAAAAACGTCTTGGAAGCATAAAATTTTCCATAATCATATCGAAAATCAAAACCACTGTCCAAGAAGTCATTTTCAGCTGAGAAGTTGTCGTTTTGAGGTGTGTAACTTCCTAATATGTAGTAATCATTTCCATCGAAGCTTGCCTTAAGCACATGCTTGGTAAATTTGTCTTGTGAAGAAGTGTCAACTCCATAATTTCCATTTATGCTAACAGGATAAAAATCGGGACACTCAAACATATTGGTCTTTACTGACGAATGAAGTGGATTTGTGCTCCTAGTCCAGGTAAAAAAGTCTTTGCTTTGGTATAGAATTGCTGTTCCCTGGCCATTTAGGTTGCCTCCAAGAATGACCCGCCACATTCCATCAGGACCTTGCCAAGCAGTTGAGGGATCCCTAAAATTCTTTGGATCAATGCCGTTATTTGGAATCATTAAAGGATTTAGAGGAGATTTCACCCATTCTGTTAAGAATGGATCAGATAGATTCTTAGGCAACGCCAGATTTTGGACCTGACTATCGTTAGAGTAAACTCCAGTATATAGAATGGCTGGTTTTCCATCAGAAAGGATTGTGGTTGAACCAGAAAAGCAACCTTTGATGTCAAAAGGATCTGTTGGGAAAAGTGCATGTGGAAGATGAAGCCAATTGACAAGATCATATGATACTGAATGAGCCCATGTAATGTTTCCCCACAAGGGACCATATGGATTGTGTTGATAGAACAGATGATAGACTCCCTTGTACAACATTGGTCCTGTTATAAACAAATGAATTGGTCTTAAAAAAGGAAAATCAAAGCTTTCTGGCAATTGAAACAATACATATACTCTACAAATTAAAGAAGTTAAAATGTTTAAAGGAAAGAAAATGACCAAAAAAAAAAAGGAAGCAGATAGGCAACATACCATTAGGATCTGCAGTGCCGTTGCATCCATTAGCAAATTACATGTCAATTCCATGGGAAAAAATGAAAAAGAAATTAGCTGCTAGAACTGAAAGTTGATTAAAATTTGACGTTAATTGTGGAGAAAAATTCAACACAAGAAGGCGTATGTATATACCATTCATCCAGTTTTGGGGAGGCTGGAAATGGTAGGCAGTCCTATATGGCTGTTCTATTGAGGATTCAGCTCGAAGGGAAGCCAATGCAACACATAAAGCAACAACCCTTATTACAGATATTACCATGCTGGTTACCTCTCAGGTCAGGACTCAAAATATGAAGCTCTAAAGCCGTGCTCAAAATCTGTATTGGATACTACTGATATGACAAGGATCCTAATATAATATAAGGAGGGAAATGCACCCATTTTTACAACGGAAATTTCAGCATATCTGCTTCCAAGTCTTTACAGACCAAGAATGTTCTTTGCAGAGCAATACGTAAAAGAAGGTCTTGTCAATTAATGTGAGAAAGTGACTTGCAAACATAGAGACAAACGTGGTAGCCCAAAGTCATAAATAAACGCTTATACAGATTTGAATTGTTCCATCTAGTAGATATATATCTCTTTCATTTCATTAATGAACCTTCCTTTCTCTTTCCCATTTAGTAGAAAAATAAACAGCTTTTATTTTGTTTCATCCTAAAAAATAACAACATAAAATATGTTTGGTAAATACATCTTTAAACATAGTACACCTATAAAAAAAATTCACATGTATTTTCGGGTGTTATTTGACTTTTTGACTTTCATTCTCCTATAATTTTATTTATTTATAACTTTGCAGTTGATTACCATTACCAAAATGGGGAAATAGTTTCAAAATTAGTGTGGAAAGATAAAATAAACTTTTTATAATAGAAAAAAAGGTAATTTAGAAGCATGGAACCCTACCCCAAACTTGTTTCGAAGAGAGAAGGTGATACATGTCTGATTGTAGGAGTAATACATACTTATGTTATTTTTTGTTGTTTTGGACTAATGTTAGGCCACGATCAGTAGCTGAGATAGTCCATAAGGGGTAATGTAGATATTTTCATATATTGCAACGGTGCTGTCTATTACAAAAGGGATGAATGTAAGGTAATCCGCACTCACGAAATAGAAGGATATTTTATTTTACTCTCTCTCTTAATTCTCTAGACTTTCTCTCCTCTTCTCTATTCTCTACTTTCTCTTTTCTATTATTTCTTCATTTCTATTTCCCATCTTAAAAGAAGTTATTAGCAATGGTGTGTGATTCTAGAAGAATCTACATTAGTGGTATCAGAGCTTCCTTCCTGGCTAGTGATTAACAATGGTGAACGATGTTACTACTCATCTTTAGAAAGAGCTTAATCAGACACACCAAAGTGTTACTCAGATCCAGATAGAACTTTAACAACTAGGGGAAAAGGTGGATAGTCTTCGTTTGGAGATGAGGAACGATTTCAAAACAATGTTAATGGAATTTTTGAATAAAAAAGAGCTGAAGGGTACGGTGTGTAAAACCCCTCTCATTAGAGAATGCACTCTAGTGCTCTCTGAAAATACTAGCAATGAATCCTAAAATACTCAATAGCAACTTCATTCGATGGTTGGGACTACTGGTCAGCACTCAAGTCTTGATTTTTCTAGGATGTTCCAGTTAGAATGTCCTAAATTCGAAGGAGAAGATTTCAAGGGATGGCTTATGAAGATGAAGTAGTTTTTATAGCAAAAAAGGTACCTGAAGAGTTGAAGGTCAAAGTAACCATGCTGAGTTTGGAAAGTAAAGCCCTTTAGTGGCATCAGCAATATACAAAATCCCAAGATGGCTTTGACATGTTGAGTTAGGGTAAGTATATAGCCAGTATGAGAGAAAGGTTTGCATGAGAGGAATTTGATGAGCTGATGGCAGAACTGGTGGAGTTAAGACAATCTGGGACTATGGAATAATACTATGAAGACTTTATAGGTATTATAAATCTTTTACAATTATTAGAATCCTATGCTTTGAATATATTTGTTAGTAATTTATATTACGATATTTCTAAAAATATGAAGCTATTCAGGCCTTCAGTTTGAATCAAGCCTACACTTAGCCAAACAATTTGAATCCATTTTACACCCTTCCCATAAAAAGGCTGTTCAACTTAGTAAATCCTTCTTACCTACCACCCACGTTAACTCGTGTAATACATATGGCAAACCCAATATACTGCCTCATTTACTACCAACCCCTAAGGCACCTCCCAACCCAAACTTACTATCTCAAAATCCACCAATATCACCTATATATAACCATGCCTTAACAAAAAGTTCAACATCACAGAACACTTCACCCAAATTTCACACTAGGAAACCAACCACTGTTGAAATG